TCCTGCACTGCTCCCCTGTTTCCCTCAATGTCTATAATATCTAGGCACAGTGGCACAGTGGGTAGCACAGCTGCCTCACAGCGCCAGGGACCTGGGTTCGATTCCATATCTCGGGCGACTGTCTGCGTGGAGTTTGCACATTCTCCGCGTGTCTGTGTGGGTTTCCTCTGGGTGCTCTGGTTTCCTCCCACAATCCAAAGATGTGCAGGTTAGGTAGATTGGCCATGTTAAATTGCCCATAGTGTCCAGGGAAGGAAGTGCAGGGATAGGGTAGGGGGTGTGTCTGGGTGGGATGCTCTTTGGAGGGTCGGTGTGGACTCGATGGGCCAAATGGCCTGCTTCCACACTGTAGGGATTTTATGATCTAGAATGCAATCAATCACTGTCTTCAGCATGCTCAGACATTTTGATTTCAAATGTCTCTTGTTGCTCCTACAATAATGAAGAGGTAGGAATTGGAGCCGGGGGAGAGGTCAGGGTTTACTGAGCCTGATCCACTTTCCCCGTAACCCTTGATTTCCCGACTGATCAAGAATCTATGTATCTCAACCTTAAACATACACCATGATTCTGCCCTCACAGCTCTCTGTGGCAAGGAGTTCCAAAGCCTTTCAACCCTCTGACAGAAGAAACTCCCCCTCATCTCAGTCTTATATTGGCACTCCTTTATTCTGAGACTTACCTCTGGTCCTAGACTCTCCTGTGAGGGGAAAACGCCCTCTCAGCATTTACCCAGACAAGGCTCTTAAAAATCCTTAATATTTCAATGAGATCACGTGCTGTATTTTTGCTCAGTTTGGGGTCCGGGGGGGAAGGGTTATTGTCAATAAGTGACAGAGTTTTGAGAGAATTTGCAGAATTGGTACACAGCAGATTGTCAAACGTTGGACATGGCATTAAGAAGCAGTGTCATTTATATCTGACTCTCTCCAAGATTTGCCACCGGTCTTCAGCCTTTTACTATTGTTGCACAGTTCATTCAGCTTTGAGGGAATTCTAAGCCATTAACCTTTCTCAAACTGTGTCAAACTGGGCCAGTTGGAGCCAGGGTTACTTGTCAGTTTTTTTTCATGTCCCTTCTGTCAACTCCAACTTTCCACTTCATTCCCACACATCTTTTTAGTTCAATTTGTGGAACAGGTTGGAGTCCGGGAGACAGTTAGAGACATGGGATTAAAAGGCAGGTTGGGGAGGTTTCAGCAGTAAATGGTGTGGCGACTGGGGAGGTGGCGAAATCAGAGTAGAGCTTGTGATGTTGCAGACGAAGAAATGGAAAGAAAATGCTGCTCGACAGGTCTATCAGAATCTAAAGGAGTTTGTTTTTCAGCTCCACAGCCTGAAGACAGCTTTCTGAACTGAAACATTAACCCTGCTTCTCTCACCACAGATGTTGCTTGGCATTCCTGGTGCTTTATGTTTCAGTTTCAGGTTTTCGGTATCTGCGATTTTTGCCTGTGTAGAAAGGGGTAAACAGTTTTGGGGTTGTTAATGAGTTGGAGTAACCTCACTTCAGATCAATGTGAGTACTATGTTTAGAATCATAGAATCCCTACAGTGCAGAAAGAGGCCATTCAGCCCATTAGGTCTATATCGAACCTCCGAAGAGCATCACATGCCGTCCCACTCCCTTAATTTATCTGTGTAACCATGCATTTCCCAAGGCTAATCCACCTAATCTACACACCGCTGAACATTATGGGCAATTTAGCATGGCCAATCCACCTAACCTGTACATCTTTGGACTGTGGGAGGAAACCGGAGCACCCAGAGGAAACCCACACAGACATGGGAGAATGTGCAAACTCCACACAGTCACCCAAGGCATTTACACATCAGCTGCTACATCCTGAGTGCACAGCCTGGGAGGGGAATGAAACTGAGGTCAAGACCGTGGAGTTACTGGCAGCAGCTGAAGTAGGACAAGCTAGAGTTTGTTAGCTGGGTGACCAGGTATTTAGGTGCCATGTATATGGGGAGTTATTAGGGTTTGGAAATAAATGCCACTCTAGCCAGCAACACACACATTGTGTGAACTAACTGTAACTATTACCTTATTTTTCTATTTATTCAATGATGGTAATGCTTAACATCTTTAACTTGGTTTATTTTGCCACTTGGTACCTAAGATGGCACTGTAAGTGTGATGACATTATACACTTTTCACTGTACTCCTGTACTTCTTACTTGAGTACACGCAACAAAAGATCCAAAACTATATCCCATCTAAATCTTAAATTTTAAATTAAGAAAAGAACTGGTGTAGCCTAGTTAGCCAAAATGGTCTAAAGCTCTGCAGTAGATTCAAAGTTATGCTGTAAAACATTAAACTTCGTCTCCAGGTTTTCCCAAGTATGAGCATGTACACTGAAACCACAGAAATTGATGTTTCCTTTCCTTTAGGCAATGTGTATGAGCAGAGTTAGCATGTGGCTAGTCATTTGCTTCAAAATCTTTCCTCATTAATCGCTTGGTGAAAGCATCTTCACAGTTTGAGTGGTTAAGTAACAAATACGAGCACGGCCTTAAATAAGATGTTAATTGGTCCCCAACTCCCACGGCACTGTACTGCACCAGCTAACAGCTGGATTTACAACCCTGCCACCTATAACTAGCAGAGCCTCACAGATAGCTGTAATTGGCAAAAATAAGAACATCCCAAGGTGCTTAATGGGAGTGAGATCAAGAAAAACCAAGTGATGGAAGGAGCAATTGGAATTCAGCTCCGTTTAAAGGAACATGCCAAAGGAAAGAGACAGAGGATAAGAGAGGGATTTCTGGATCTGAGGGGCATGGCACAGGCACCAGTGAAGTATGTCTGGCAGTGTAGGATTCCTACTTTGCGGAATCCCTCCCACAGCCTTGGACCAGAGCAGTCAGTATTTTGCCTGGCCTAAGGCGAACTGAATGTGATGGTGTTTGCATAGACCTTCCTTTGTTGCCCTTGGACAGGTTTAAAGATGCAGCCAGTAAGCCGAGAGAATGTGGATGCTGGAAACCTGAAACAAAAATATAAATTGCTGGAGAGATGCAGTAGGTCTGGCAGCATCTGTGGAGAGTCAACTTTTCGAGTCCAATTCTGAACTGAAGAAGGGTCACTGGATCCAAAACGGTAACTCTGTTTCCCTCTCCACAGATGCCGCCAGGCCTGCTGAGTTTTCCCAGCAGATTTTGTTTCTGATTTCCAGCATCCACAGTTTTTTAGTTCTTTTTGTTTAGAGAATAATCAAGATGAAGATCATTTTGTTTCATGTAGAATTACTTATATAAACACTTATTAGGATTTATGTTGGAGTAACTGATCCATCACCTCAGATTTGTAAGCAGACAGAAAAGAACTAACTAAATGTTTCAGGAGAGGAATTAGAATTTAAGGATATTAGAGTTTCTACAGAGATTTTCACAATATTAAGAAGTTCCAAGGCTGTCCCAATGACATGTTTTTAAAGGACAGTCACTATTCTAATGTGAAAATACAGCAGTCAGTTTATGCGCAGGAAGCTCTGAGAAGCTACAACAGGATAAATGATGCAGTAGCTTGGGCAGGACAGAGGAAGAACCACACTGCTCCTTTACCAATGCAATAGGATTCACATCAAATGGCATCATCTCAAATTTAGAGCTATTCCCTTTTTAAGTGAAATCTGGAAGGATGTTTTGTCACACTGGAAATCATAAAATTCCTACAGGGTGGAAGCAGGCCATTCAGCCCATTAAGTTTACACCGACCTTCCAGAGAGCATCCCACCCAGACCCACCCTTCCCTGTAACCCTGCATTTCCCATGGGTAATCCACCTTGCCTGGACATCCCAGGATATTATGGGCAATTTAACATGGCCATCTTTGGACTGTGGGAGGAAACCGGAGCACCCGGAGGAAACCCACACAGACACGATTAGAATGTGCAAACTCCACACAGACAGTCGCCCGAGGGTGGAATCAAACCAAGGTCCCTGGTGCTGTGAGGCAGCAGTGCTAACCACTGAGCCACCGTGCTGTCGTGGAAATCTGGAACTTGCTTCCCTCAAAAGGTTGTTCGGTTAATGGAAATGTTCAAGACTAAGATTTTTGTTGGGTAAAGAATACAAGGAGATGGGGCAGTGGCAGGGAAATGGAGTTGAGGTGCAGATCAGTGGTGATCCAATTGAAAGGACAGTGTAGGCTGAAGGACCTATTCCAGTTTTTATGTTTCACCAGGAGTAGGCCATTCAGCCTTTTGAGTGTGTTCTGCCTTTCAACAAGGAGTTTGCACATTCTCCCTGTGTCTGTGTGGGTTTTCTCTGGGTGCTCTGGTTTCCCCCCACAGTCCAAAGATGTGCAGATTAGGTGATTGGCCAAATTAAATTGCCCCATAGTGCCCAGTGGTGTGTAAATTAGGTGGATTATACATGGGAAATGCAAGTTACAGGAAAAGGATAGGGGGATGGGTCTGGGTGGGATGCTGTTCAGAGGGGCAGTGTGGACTCGTTGGGCCGAATGGCCTGTTTTCACTCTGTAGAGATTCTATTTTCCATAAAAAAAACATGGCTAATTGGATTATCCCACATCCTCCTGATAATCTTACACCTGTTGTTTATCAAGAGTGTATTTACCACTGCTGTAAAAGTATTCCATGACCCGCACCTCCACTGCTGTCTGGGGAAGAGAATTTCAAATACTCATGTCCCTCAGCTCCATTGTAAATAGGCAGGCCTATATTTTCAAACTGTGCCCCCTAATTCTAGCCTCTCCCAGAATAGGGCACATCCTTTCAGCATCTGCTGGGTCATTGTGTCTCAATACGAATGCCTCAGCGTCCTCTAAACTCCAATGAGCCTGTCCAACCTCTCCTCATGAGGCAACATGCCCCCACCATCACAGGGGATGTTTTATGTTTATGAAACATGCATTAGCCAATCTTTTTAATTCGCCGCAAAGTATCGAGTTTTGCATTGCATTTATTCAACAATTCGAAAATGGAGTTGCAGTTCTTTTTCAAACAAAGGTTCTGTCTTCTCACTAGAAAACACCACGTTGACCACTACCAGTGAAGCTGAACGTAAAGCCCAGCATTATTTCCAGGCCTGCATGAACATGCAGAAAATCGAGGAGTTACAGGGACAACCCCTTCTTGACATCATTAACAAGGTAAGGAAGGAGAAACCCATCACTGCCAGCAGTTTGTATCACATGGTTCGACACTCACTGAGTTTGGGTTCGACACAGACTGGTTAAGGCATAGGCAAATTCAAGAACTGTCTTCAACCTAAAATTCCAAAGTATTCCTGTTTATTAAAAATGAATTGTAAAGACCGCTGTCCACAATAAGCATAGCTGTACCAGCATCTGACTTTATAGTAACATTAGGAAAGAACTAATGTATCTTCTTCAGGCATTCATATCAACCATCCAAGTCTAGTGTGTTCTAACACCACCCACACTGTGGTATTTATACCAGGGATGTGCAGCTCCATGTCATCATTGCTAGGTTTGCTCCAGGGTCCTTTAAGCCCTTATACAACCTAACCTTTTTACATGATTGTTTTGCCAGCTCTTCATTTTCAGCGAAGGTACTATGACTCAATGTTAAACCAAGATATGATGGCTTCTTTCAGCCCTGTGTAAGGAGCCACACAGATTTATGCTCATTCAGTCACTTGGGTTTGGAGTAATGATTGCTTTGAGTGTTTGCCAACTCATCCTCCCCTGTGGTGTTACCTCGGCTGTGCTGTGATTCATCGGAGATCTCCGCAGCACATGTACATCATTCCAAAGCACTGTCAGGTTTAAGGATTGACCTTCATTCTTTGGTGAGCTAGCTGATATAACTGGAGTTATGCACAAGGACTTCAAGAGGAGGAAGTTAACAAGCGCCCCCATTTCTATTCATAGAGAATTCCTCCTTAGTCTAGAGGGATTCCTTATGATAAAGAGAGCGGTGACGTTATTGAATATGTTCAAGGCAGAGCCTCATAGATTCTTGAAGAGAGGGGATCAAACGTTGTTGAGCTGGGCCAGAAAGTGGAGTTAAGGCCACAGTCATATCAGTCATGACCTTATCAAATGGTGCAGCATTCTTGAGGGCCTGAATGGCCTTGTTTTTCATTCTTACGTTCATAAGCCCTTCAAGACCAAAAAGGGCGCCTGTCTAGTGAGGCATCATGGAAGGTGTTATCAGTTAATACTGCCTCCCAACTGTCCATTTTTCCTGCAGATCCAGGTGTGAACTTCTCCAATCAGGATTCCTCCCTCTATTGAGCCCATCGCCATCTTTTAGTGCCTGTGCTCACATATCTAGCTGTGTGCCACTACCCTCCCTTAATTCCATTTGAACTCCGACCCTGTTTGCCCTCCCATCTTCAATGGCTTCTCTTCCCACTCCAACATGGGTTATCTCTGGTGTTTCAAATGGCCTCCCTGTATTTCCTCTCTACTCACGAGCCCTTGGTGCCACTATCTACAGGCATATCATTTCTGCATGCATCTTTACAATACCACCATCTCTCATAGAATCCCTATAATGCGGAAAGAGGCTATTCGACCCATCAAGTCTGCACCCATCCCAGACCAACCACCCTAATCGCACATTTCCCATGACTAACCCACCTAGACTGCACATCCCTGGACACTATGGGGTAATTTAGCATGGCCAATCCACCCTAACCTGCACATCTTTGTACTGTAGGAGGAAACACACACAGACATGGGTAGAATGTGCAAACTCCACACACAGTCACCTGAGGCTGGAATCAAAGCCAGGTCCCTGGCGCTGTGAGGCAGCAGTGCTAACCACTGAACCACCGTGGACTGTTTTGCTGCTTCTGCTTTGTCTCAGTTTGTCTGACATCTGGTAGCGGATAGAAACATAGAAAATAGGACCAGAAGACCATTCGGCCCTTCGATCCTGCTGCACCATTCAATATGACCATGGCTGAGCATCCAACTCAGTCCCATCCTCCTTGATGGGATTGTACAATTCTTTGAGTTTGATCCCTCATTTCCCCTTTCTGAGTTGCAGAAGCTCCTTCCCATGCAGACTTACTCCTACATTCACCGCTGTGCACCTTTCTCTCCCCAGACTTCAGTGTTTGTAACAAGCTTCCATTCCCTTTGCAACATGGTAACTCTGAGTTTGTTGAAGGTGCCTGGCAAACCCATTTATCCTTCCCCTGAAGATTAGAAGCAGGAGTAGGCCGTTCGGCCCCTTAAACCTCCTCTGCCATTCAATGTGATCATGGTGCCTCATGCCTCAACTGCACCTCCCTGCCCGTTGCCTAACAAACAGCTCAGTCTGCCCGGGACTTCAGAGTATTTGTGATCCCATTTCCACCGCGCTGTGGAGAGAAACAGCTCCTCAGACAGTGAACCAGGAGGTCAGACGAAGCCCCCGACCCTGTGCCGTGGAAACTTAGCTCAGCCAGCACTGAGGGCCCTGGGAAAATGTCTCTTTGGAGGACAACATCTGAGAGGGGACAGCCCTGCCCCACCTCTGTGCTGAATGTACTAGGGGTCAGAGCCTATGGCCTAACACAGGGCCTGGTAGGAAAGCAACAGTACTCCACCCACTATCTGCTTCTTAAAACACAAAGAAGGGATTGAGCGATTGTATTTTACCCCAATTATATAGAAGACACTGGCAGATGCAGTTCAATTCCATTGTGTCATGTATTTTAAAAACCATAATAAACCAGTTAAAGTGTGTCACTGGTGTATGCCTTGATTATAGTGGTGCTTCCTTGACAAATGGCCATGTATCAGTGTCTGATGTGCTCTGTGTTTATCCTTTCCAAGCTCACTGTCCACAAATGGAACTCCCCCTTTTTATTGTCAAGACCCAGGAGGGGCTGTGTACAGAATCTCGATACTGGTGACAGCAGGAAAGCAGGCTGTAAAATCTGACAAACAGCAGAAGGAACTGCACAGTCCTCTCCCCACTGACTGCTGAGCTCATAAACCTGTTTGATTCTTACAGTGCCTCACATGCTAACAATCCTTCTCCCGTCAACAACAGCACACTCCAGCGACTGCGCTATATAAATGCAATAAAATCCGAGTCCTGTCCACCCCCAAACCAGAACCAGTCCCTTCAAGAAAAGGTACATGCTCCCCTGTGCATTGATGGCTATCCAGTCCTTGACCCAGCAGCTATTCCTGTCTTGCGCCGTCACACCCCTCATTGTTGATTAGCTACTGTGGGCATCACAACCCATTCTCCGGCCTCATGTGGGTAGCGATCAAGAACAGGAAATCTGACTGACTCAGCCCCTGATCTTGTAACCTGCTGTGTACTGAAACCAAGTACGACTTACACTCCCCTTGCAGTGGGGGACAGTAGAGAGACAATGGCTTACTGTTAATATCACTGGACAAGTTGCTGAAGGCCCAGGATAATGCTGCGGTGGAATTTAACTTCAGTTAATGAAATCTGGAATATGAAGGCAGTCTCGGTGTTGGTGACCTTGAAATGGTTATCGATTGTCAGGACAAAGCAAACTGGTCCCAGAATGTCAGCTTTCCTGCTCCTCTGATGCTGCCTGGCCTGCTGCGTTCCTCCGGCTCCACACTGTGTTATCTATAAGCTGGTCAGCAATGCCCTTTAAGGAAGGAAATCTACCATCTTTAACTACATGTAACTCCAGGCGCGCTGAAATGCGGTTGCGTCTTAGCTACCCTCTGAAAGGGGAGGCACTATTTCCCTCAGCAGGAGGGGCAATACGTAGAGGATGCAGGTTTGGGATAATTGGGAGTGAAAATTAAAACATTGGAGCTGAGGAGAGATTTTTATTTGTGCCAAATTTATGCAATACAGATCTAGAAAGTGGTGCCTGAGAAGGTGCAGATTTAAAAGGAAGTGGAAATAAACTCAGGAAGCAAAACTTTACAAGGCTATGGGAGAAAGAACGGGAGTGGGATGAACTGAAAATCTCATTCAAAGCGCTAGTACGGGCTTGATGGAATGAATAGCCTTCTCCTGTGTCATATGACTTTGGAATGCAAAGAGAGGGTCGGTATGGACTCGATGGGCTGAATGGCCTGCTTCCACACTGGAATAATTCTATGATCATACAAAGAGGCATGATTGTACATAAACAAAGCTGAGACCTCGCAGTTTCTCCCTTCACAAGCATTTCATAGTGTATTCAATTCTGGTTGCCCTGCTATAGGAAGGATGTTATTACATTGGAGAGAGGGCAAAAATGGTTTACAAGGAGGTTGCGAGACCGAAGGGTTTGAGTTAACAGAGAAGCTGGATAGGCTGGGGCTTTTTTCCCTGAAGCATAGGAGGCTGAGGGGTGACCCTATAGAGATTTATAAAATCATGAGAGATATGGATAAGGTGAATAGCCAAGGTCTTTTCCCCAAGATGGGGATGGGCCGTGGGGGTGGGATGGGAGTCCAAAACTAGACGGCATAGGTTTAATGTGAGAAGGGAAAGATTTAAAAGGGATCTGAGGTGCAACGTTTTACACAGAGGGTGATACGTGTATGGAACATGGTGCCAGAGGAAGGGGTGGAGGCTGGTACAATTACAACATTTTAAAAAAACATTTGGACAGGTAAATGGATTGGAAATGTTTAGAGGGATATAGGCCAAATGCAGGCAAATTGGACCAGTTCAGTTTAGGAAAACCTGGTAGGCATGAATGAGTTGGGCTGAAGGGTCTGTTTCCGTGCTGTATGACTCTTTGACAATCTCTTTGAATTCTTTCTGCAGCTAGGAGGCTGGAACATCACAAAACCATGGGATAAGGCCAACTTTCAGGAAGTGCTTCAGTCTGTTACAGCTCATTACCGGACCTCCCCATTCTTCACCGTCTACCTGAGCACAGACTCGAAGAACTCCAACTGTAACGTCATCCAGGCAGGTTACTGGGGACACAGCCGGAGCCCTGGCTGATAGGGACGGGAGGCTCGAGGGTCTATCACAGTAAGCTGGGAGGAGTTAGCCGAGCTGAAACTGGGGAGTAGAGAGAGAGAGAGTCGGGACAGGCTGGGCTTGTGCCCAGAAGAGTGAGTTGCAGCAGCGCGATGATGTGTCTGTTTGAGATGAGCATGGAAGAGTTTGCCAAATGTGTGAGCCCTTGTCACCACAGTTTAGCCGGTGCTGACTGAACTGTATAATTGACTTCTGTGGGAGGAGGCGGTTTCCTGGTAACGTCAATGGACTAGTAAACCAGAGTCAACAAGTTAATGCTTTGTGAACAAAGGGTTCAAATCCTATCATCACAGATGGTGAAGCTGGTGTTCAGTAAAATATGGAATTAAAAGTGATTGCTGATTACCCATCAGTAGTGGAGCAAATCTCTCATCTTAACCCTCACAGGGCCAACATGTGACCACCAGGCCCACAGCAATGTATCTGACTCTGAACTGCTAGTACAAAGTAGTTCACCATTTAGTTCATAGAATCACTACGGTGTGGAAACAGGCCATTCAGCCTAACAAGTCCACACCGTCTCTCCAGAGAGAGCATCCCACCCAGGCTCACCCATCCCCTACCATATCCCTGTCTCCCTGCATTTCCCAAGGCTAATCCAACTAACCTACACACCACGGGCAATTTAGCATGGCCAATCCACCTAACCTGCGCGTCTTTGGACTGTGGGAGGAAACCGGAGCACCCGGAGGAAACCCACGCAAACACAGGGAGAATGTGCAAACTCCACACAGACAGTCTGAGGCTGGATCGAACCTGGGTCCCTGCCGCTGTGAAGCAGCAGTGCTAATCACTGCGCCACCGTGCGACCCCAAGGGATGGACAACAAATGCCAGCCTTGCCAGTGAAACTCCTATCCCATTCAAGAATGTTAAAAAATCATTTTGCCGGAACATTCTTTGTCCAAGGCCAAATTCACTGAGGCTTGCTGGTTCCAGGAGAGGTGTAGCCTTGATGAGAAGGTGATTGAGAAGCTGGAGTTTGCAGGAACCGAGCTCTGTTATCTTTTCGTTTTCTCTGACCGTCGCTTGATCTTTTCCCGCCCCCACAGGTGGACCAATCAGGCCTTGGATTACCCTCGAGAGATTATTATCTCAATGCAACAGCCAATGACAAGGTAGGTGCACTCCAGGAGGCTGATACCTTTATAGGCGACATGTTGGGCCTGTGCCAGAGGTGTTTTGGTGGCGGTTTGGCGGCAAGGGTGAATTTCCATTCTTCACTCACCAATCTTTGGGATCAGAATATTTTCTAGCCCACAATTATTTAACCCTCACTGCCCATTGCCATGTCCCAGGAATTGCAAAGCCAATTGTAACACCCCAGTCCATCACTGAGCCACAAAAACCGAAAGAACTGCGAATGCTGGAAATCAGGAACAACAACAGAAGTTGCTGGAAAAGCTCAGTGGTCTGGCAGCATCTGTGGAGAGAAGTCAGAGTGTTAATGTTTCGGGACCAGTGACCCTTCCTCAGAAACAGTTAGCCGTGATTAGTGACCCTTAGACAACAAGGATTTTACATGAAGGCTTTGAGGATCAAACTTTTGGAGAGAGAGTCTTGGCCAGGAAAAGTAATAAAATGCTGGAATTGTACAAAGCATCTTTTAAAAAAGAGGAAAGGGCTTGGAATGGGGGAGCGACCTAGATCAGAATCCTTCACCGCACAGTAACCAGCCCATCCATCTATTTGGCTCTGTCAACGTGCTGCTGTTTCCAGCTGTCACAACTTCTGTTTTTCTAACCTCACCGCACTGTTTGACATCATGCAAAGTAGCTCATCTCACTGCTCTCTACAGTTAATAGCAGCTGTATCTGTAGGACCACAGTCTGTGTACTAAGTTTAATTCATTAAGAGGAGAGAAATTACCAGCATTCTGACTGAGTGTACAAAATAACCAGTCGAAGAAAAGTAGTTTCTTTTTGTTAAATTATAATCTTCTCAGCCTGAAGGTAGAATCAGAATAGAGACCACCCAATGCTCCCAAACACAGTAGGGACCCCTTTCCCTAGATGTTTCTGTGGCCTTTCCTCTGATGCTGAACCCATTGTGAAATATGTACATTGATTTAAGCAGGGAAAGGATAGTTCTACCCTCAGGCTGAGAAATTTATAACTTCAAGATAAGGAATTCTACTTTGCCTTGGGCAGCTTGTTCCTCAGGCAGCCTGTGTCAGCATTTAACACTCACCGGTTAAAATTGGAAGGTTTGACTTATTTTAGTTGCTAATTTATATACAAAGGCAGCCTCAGAAACTGCAGTGCAGTAAGTAGCGAGTTAATTTGTTTCGGGGCCTTTCTTGTTGTTTCATGAGATGATGGAACACTCTCTGATTGGGTACACCTCTAACAACAGTCAAGAAGTTCAACACCATCTAGGACTGTGCGTGACTGGCATCCAAACCACCACTTTTCACAATCACTGCACCACTGATGCCAGCAACTAAAAGTCACTCACCACCCTGACTTGGAGATATAGCGCCATTCCTCCACTGTTGCTGGGTTAAAGTCCTGTAAATCCCTCCCTAATGACACTGTGTGTGTCCCTGCACCAAATGTATTGCAGTGGTTCAAGGTGACATAGTTGGGAATGTGGAGAGAAAACAGATTCAACATTTCGGGTCCGGTGATGAACAAAGGGTCACTGGATTCACAATGTTAGTGCTGCTTTCTTTCCACAGATGCTGTCAGATCTGCTGAGTTTCTCCAGCAATTTCTGTTTACTTATCCATTATCCAATTATCCATTACTTAACACATAACCCTAGTTCCATTTGGTCTCAGACAAAACTGCCAGACCGTACAATTCAATAATAACAATTGCTAACGCTGGGATTATTTTTGTTTAAATTTGTTTTACCACCATTAAATAATAATAGTTAACAGGAGCTCATTCAACTCGGGTAAGAGCCAAGAGTCAGTGCCAGAGACTGAGAGATCCCCAGTCAATGTCACCAGAACACAATAAAGGCAGAGGAGTTGATTTAATGGATAGCTAAGATTTAAGTGCAAGTTCTTTTAGAGTCGTGGAGATATACAGCATGAAAACAGACCCTTCAATCCAACTTGTGCATGCCGACCAGATATCCTAAATTAATCTAGTCCCATTTGCCAGCATTTGGCCCATAGCCCCCTAAACCCTTCCTATTCATATACCCATCCAGATATCTTTTAAATGTTGTCATTGTACCAGCCTCCTTTTCATTTGGATTGCAACACTATAGTGCAATTTTTTTAAATGACTAACTGATGTCCTGTGGCATTGCTCATGGATGAGGTGGTGATGAGACGAAGATGAGATGGATGGAGGAGGTGCAGGTATATAGTTAGGTCAAGTGTGACAGAACACTTCAGGCTCACATTGACTTGGTAATTGTCCTTCTCATCGAATCACAGGAGCTTTAAAGACAAGCTGCAGTTAGAATTAGAATGAAGACCAATTCAGAAATAAACATTGCAATGTACTCAGTCCACTCATGTCTGTGACCACCAGCTCCTTTACACCAAAATTGGCACTTGTATCAATCCAGCAAACCCTGGTGACTTGTTTAAAAAGTATTTAAGTAGGCTGAATCAAATTTGTTTGAATTGACAGTTTGTTCAAATTGTCAAGTAGTTTTAAATTCTCAGAAAGATGGATGGTGCCAGTCAACACCAACAGCTGGTTGGAATTGGAGGAGACACATGTAAATATCAAGTACAAGATAAGTTGGCAGAAAAATGGCAAACATTTCCGGTTTTCTTCAAAGATTATGTTGACGTTATTTATAATTATATACAAATTTTTATTACCTATTGTCGTCTTCACCTTTTGTTTAACTAAATATCTCCAAAAATTAAAGATGAACTAAAATCTGGAGTCACATGAGATGATGGTTTTTTATCTAAAGGAGGTCAAAAATCAATTCTGCTACTAAATCATATAATCCCTACAGTGTGGAAGCAGACCATTCGGCCCATCAAGCCCAGACCGACCTTCTGAAGAGCATCCCACCCAGACCCACCCCATCGCTGTAACCCTGCATTTCCCACGGCTAATCCACCTAACCTGCACATCTTTGGGCTGTGGGAGCAAACCCACGCAGACACGGGGAGAATGTGCAAACTCCACACAGACAGTCGCCCGAGGGTGGAGTCGAACCCAGATCCCTGACTCTGTGCGGCACCAGTGCTAACCACTGAGCCACCGTGCCACCCTCAGAAAGGCTTACTCTCTCTTTATGGCAGGGATGATTATCATAAATCCAGCTTGATATCAGGGCCAACATCTGAGACTCTGTTAGGACCCAAGAAGGACTGGCTCTGTCCAAAAAGCACACGAGATCCTTTGGAGACTCTGTAGTTTTTTTTAATTGTATCATGAGATGAAGGCAAGGCCAGCATTTGTTGTCCATCCCTAATTTCCCTTGAATTGAATAGTGTTGCTGGACTACTTCAGTGGACAGTTAAGAGAAAACCACATTTCTGTGGGCTAGAGTCACATTTAGGCCAGACCAGGTAAGGATAGTAGATTTCTGTCCCCAAAGGACGGTGCTGAACCAGGTGGGTTTTTCTGACAATCCTTGATGGTATCATGGTTACAATCGCTGAGACTAGCTTGATATCCCAACATTTTTAATTAAATTTAAATTCAACTCGTTGCCATATGCTGACATCATTAGGCTGGCTGTCTGGATTTGTACTTCAGAGATATTACCACTTTGACACTGTCGCCCCATTAGATGCAGGTTTGGGGGTCAGAGTCCGGGCATTCTGTGGGAGCGTTGCCTGCAATGCTGACAGAGTCTCCTGGTCTCTGAGGCCTCCAGCCAAACCTGGCCAGGGATGACCTGCACCTCTGAAAGTGATACATGATACATAAGTTGAAGGGACAGCGGTTATAGTGACAGACAGTCTAGCCTACATGTGACTCCAGACCCACAGCAATGCCCTCTGAAATGGCTGAGCAAGCCACTCGGTCAAAAGCGTTAGAGGTAGGTCTTACCACCAGCAGCCAAAACAAGACTCCAGCAACAATAGCACCTTGTAAGAAGCATCGTATTGTCAGGGCCACCAATGTGAAAGGTCACAGGTCAGAATCTGCGAACCATGACACACGGTTCACAGGAGGTAAATGTGACTCTTGCAGAAACTACTCACCAGAAACCCAGCTTTTGATGTTTTATAGATTGTTACAAGGAAGCTGTGATTGCCATAGCGATGTCACGCCAGGAAAATCTGTATTTAAATCTTCAAGATTTGTTTCTGATTACCTGCAAATCCAACATAGACCAGTTACCCCACAATTTTTTAAAAAAAACACACAACAGCTTTTGAAAACAAAGCCGGAATTAACCATTTCGATCATCCTGACCCCTCATTTCTTTGCGAAGGAGATTTTCATTGTATTTGACTGTGTGTGATCTTGTAATTGTGCTGTCAGATCTGCCCCGCTGTTTACCTCGCTGTGTTCCTGCCTTTTACCCAGATCCTCACGGCCTACTTGACTTACATGGTGGAGCTAGGGGAGCTCCTGGGTGGCAAGGAGACCTCCACGCGGGCACAGATGCAGCAGGTGTTGGACTTTGAGGGTGCTCTGGCCAACATCACTGTGCCCCAGGAAGACCGCCGAGATGAAGAACTCATCTACAACAAGATGACTGTGCGAAACCTGCAGGTAAACAGTGTCTGGCTGGGGAGCTGGTCAGTAACCAGTTTCATCTCAAGCCCACTGGGGTAGGTTGTCATAACCTGAGTTCTGCTATTCCTAGATATTAACCGTTTTTTTAAGGTACACACTGGGGCCCAATTTACCTGACTTTTAGACCAAGGTTGACAGACAGACCAGGTTTCTGTACTAAACAAATATTGTTAGTATTTATTCTAAGTAATTAAACAATAGCCACAAGTAAACAGATATGAACCATTGGCTCATAACATTAGTAACTATAGCTCTAATCCCCTGATAAACTGTCCCCCTTTACTCAGACACACACACACAATACACATACACACACGTATACACAACACACACACGCGCGCACGCGCACACACACACGTATACACAACACGCACGCGCACGCACACACGTATACACAACACACACACACACGTATACACAACACACACATACACACACACACATACACAATGCACATACACATATACACAATTTGTACACACACTCTCTCACAGTCTATCAAATAGGTAAAATAAATTATTAGTAATAAAAACTCTGGCAAGTCAGTTCAGTGATCTTTGTTTCCTGATCCCACCAGCTAGTCTTCAGCTAGCCAGACCCTTGGTGTTCAGTTGTCCCTCTCTTTCCGAGTCTCTCTCTCTCTTTCTCTCTCTGACAGCTTCCACTGGTTTCTAAGAGGTACAGAGCATCACGGTCACTCAGAAAATGTTTCCCAATTTATCAATTCAAACATCACAGAAATTGCTGCAGGAAAGATAATTGGTTTTCTTCAAGTTTAAACTGGCTTTTTATTTTCAGCAGAGAACAGGCACCTTCGGCTGGGGAGAGCAACTGCACACTTTTGTGTGTGTCTTTCTCGCTGTCTGTCTGTGTGTGTACAACTTGTTTCCAGTTCCAACCTGCTCTGTTAGCTGAGAACCAATCACTTTCACTTGGAAGCAACTTCTCGCTTCTGATCATCTGCAGATTGCAGGAACCAATGGACACAGAAGACAGAGTTCACAATAGATCCTGCATTTTTTTGCTGTGAAACTATTCAACCATCCTTGTAAAACCCTGCTTTTAAAAGCAAAAGTTTGGGAAATGGCAGGAAAATGGCATCAAGTCATGATGGTCATTTGGAGAGTTGGTGCAGACATGATGGGCTGAATGGCCTTCTCTGTGCCGTAGCACGGAGTAAAGAAATCTTGATTCCCCTCTTTAGGAGACTGGTAAGACCACACCTGGAGTGTTGTGTACATTTCTGGCCCCTTTACCAAAGCAAGGACAGACATGCCATCGAGGGAGTGCAGCAAAAGCTCACAAGACTGATTCCTGGCATAGTGAGATTGTCCAACGGGGAGCTTTTGGGGAGACTGGACCTTTATTCTCTAGAGTTTAGAAGAATCTCATTGAAACTGAGAAAATTCTTACAGGCCTTGACAGGGTAGTTGCAATAAGGATGCTTCACCTAACTGAGGAGCTCTAGAAACAGGAGATAGGGTGGCAGAATAAGGAGCAAGTCATTTAGGATAGAGATGAGGAACTTGCCGGCTCAAAGGGTAGTGAATCTTTAGAATTATTTAATCCCAGTGGAGTGAAGAGGTTCATACATTGAATATCATAGAATCCCTACAGTGTGGAAGCAGGCCATTTGGCACATCAAGTCCACATCAACCCTCTGAAGAGCATCCCACCCAGATTCACTCCCTATCCTATCCCTGTAACCCTGTGTTTCCCATGGCTAATCCACCCCTGGACACTACAGACAATTTAACACGGCCAATCCACCTACCTGGGGTTTAGATGTTTCAGTAAGATGAGGGAAGGTGGTAAAAGAGGGGGAGGTGTGGCATTGTTAGTCAAGGACAGTATTACGGTGGCAGAAAGGACGTTTGATGACAACTCGTCTACTGAGGTAGTATGGGCTGAGGTTAGAACCAGGAAAGGAGAGGTCACCCTGTTGGGAGTTTTCTATAGGCCTCCGAAAAGTTCCAGAGATGTCGAGGAAAAGATTGCAAAGATGATTCTGGATAGGAGCGAAAGTAACAGGGTAGTTGTTATGGGGGACTTTAACTTTCCAAATATTGACTGGAAACGCTATAGTTCGAGTACTTCAGATGGGTCAGTTTTTGTCCAATGTGTGCAGGAGGGTTTCCTGACACAGTATGTAGATAGGCCAACAAGAGGCGAGGCCACATTGGATTTGGTACTGGGTAATGAACCAGGCCAGGTGTTAGATTTGGAGGTAGGAGAGCACTTTGGTGATAGTGACCACAATTCGGTTACGTTTACTTTAGCGATGGAAAGGGATCGGTATATAAAGCAGGGCAAGAGTTATAGCTGGGGGAAAGGCAACTATGAGGCGATGAGGCAAGATTTAGGATGCATAGGATGGAGAAGGAAACTGCAGGGGCTGGGCACAATTGAAATGTGGAGCTTGTTCAAGGAACAGCTACTGCGTGTCCTTGAGAAGTATGTACCTGTCAGGCAGGGAGGAAGTGGTCGAGCGAGGGAACCGTGGTTTACTAAAGAAGTTGAATTTCTTGTCAAGAGGAAGAAGGAGGCTTATGTAGAGATGAGGCGTGAAGGCTCAGTGAGGGCGCTTGAGAGTTACAAGTTAGCCCGGAAGGACCTAAAGAGAGAGCTAAGAAGAGCCAGGAGGGGACATGAGAAGTCTTTAGCAGGTAGGATCAAGGAAAACCCTAAAGCTTTCTATAGGTATGTCAGGAATAAAAGAATGACCAGAGTAAGATTGGGGCCGGTCAAGGACAGTAGTGGGAAGTTGTGCGTGGAGTCCGAAGAGATAGGAGAGGTGCTAAATGAATATTTTTCGTCAGTATTCACACAGGAAAAAGACAATGTAGTCGAGGAGAATACTGAGATACAGTCTATTAAACTAGACGGGATTGAGGTTCATAAGGAGGAGGTGTTAGCAATTCTGGAAAGTGTGAAAATAGATAAGTCCCCTGGGCCGGATGGGATTTATCCTAGGATTCTCTGGGAAGCTAGAGAGGAGATTGCAGAGCCTTTGGCTTTGATCTTTATGTCGTCATTGTCTTCAGGAATAGTGCCAGAAGACTGGAGACTAGCAAATGTTGTCCCCTTGTTCAAGAAGGGGAGTAGAGACAACCCTGGTAATTATAGACCAGTGAGCCTTACTTCGGTTGTGGGTAAAGTGTTGGAAAGGATTATAAGAGATAGGATTTATAATCATCTAGAAAGGAATAATTTGATTAGGGATAGTCAACACGGTTTTGTGAAGGGTAGGTCGTGCCTCACAAACCTTATTGAGTTCTTTGAGAAGGTGACCAAACAGGTGGATGAGGGTAAAGCGGTTGATGTGGTGTATTTGGATTTCAGTAAAGCGTTTGATAAGGTTCCCCATGGTAGGCTATTGCAGAAAATACGGAGGCATGGGATTGAGGGTGATTTAGCAGTTTGGATCAGAAATTGGCTAGCTGTAAGAAGACAGAGGGTGCTGGTTGATGGGAAATGTTCATCCTGGAGTTCAGTTACTAGTGGTGTACCTCAAGGATCTGTTTTGGGGCCACTGCTGTTTGTCATTTTTATAAATGACCTGGATGAGGGCGTAGAAGGATGGGTTAGTAAATTTGCAGATGACACCAAAGTCGGTGGAGTTGTGAATAGTGCAGAAGGATGTTGTAGGTTACAGAGGGACATAGATAAGCTGCAGAGCTGGGCTGAGAGGTGGCAAATGGAGTTTAATGCGGAAAAGTGTGAGGTGATTCACTTTGGAAGGAGTAACAGGAATACAGAGTACTGGGCTAATGGTAAGATTCTTGGTAGTGTGGATGAGCAGAAAGATCTCGGTGTCCATGTGCATAGATCACTTAAAATTGCCACCCAGGTTGATAGCGTTGTTAAGAAGGCGTACAGTATGTTAGGTTTTATTGGTAGAGGGATTGAGTTTCGGAGCCATGAGGTCATGTTGCAGCTGTACAAAACTCTGGTGCGGCCGCACTTGGAGTATTGCGTACAGTTCTGGTCACCGCATTATAGGAAGGATGTGGAAGCATTGGAAAGGGTGCAGAGGAGATTTACCAGGATGTTGCCTGGTATGGAGGGAAGGTCTTATGAGGTAAGGCTGAGGGTTTTGAGGCTGTTTTCGTTAGAGAGAAGAAGGTTAAGAGGTGACTTGATAGAGACATACAAGATGATCAGAGGATTAGATAGGGTGGACAGTGGGAGCCTTTTTCCTCGGATGGTGATGGCTAGCACGAGGGGACATAGCTTTAAATTGAGGGGTGATAGATATAGGACAGATGTCAGAGGTAGGTTCTTTACTCAGAGAGTAGTAAGGGCGTGGAATGCCCTGCCTGCAAAAATAGTAGACTCGCCCACTTTAAGGGCATTTAAATGGTCATTGGATAAACATATGGATGATAATGGAATAGTTTAGGTTAGATGGGCTTCAGATTGGTTTCACAGGTCGGCGCAACATCGAGGGCCGAAGGGCATGTACTGCGCTGTAATTTTCTATGTTCTATGTTCTATGTTCTATGTTCTATGCACATCTTTCGGCTGTGGGAGAGAACTGGAGTACCCAGAGGAAACCCACACAGACACAGGGAGAATGTGCAAACTCCACACAGACAGTCACCTAAGGATAGAATCAAACCCGGATCCCCGGCACTATGAGGTAGTGGTGCTAACCACTGAGCCACCTTGCAACATGTCCAAGATTTGTAGATTTCTTAGTACTAATAACATGAAGGATGTGGGGATAGCACAGAAAATGGCATTGAGCTAGCTGATCAGCCGTGGTCGAGAAGAGAGGAGTCTGGGGGTCAAATGGAATACTTTGTTCCTGTTTCACAGGAGAAAATGCAGAAGGATTTGTGAAGAAGGTGGGAGAGGTTTTAAACATGAAGGAAGACTAGACAGCCTGGACCTCTTTGCTTTAGGGAAAGGAAATTTTGAAGAAAAGTCTTTAAAACTGTGCATGGGTTTGGGGTAGAAGAGATGTGTCCACACTGAGAGGAGACCATCAATCCAAATACGAAGAAATGAGCCCAGTAAGAGATTCAGGAGCACATCATTTATCAAAAATGTGGTTAGAATGTGGAACTGGCTACCATAAGGAGTAGTTGAGACACAGAACATAGATGCATTGAAGTTCATCAGAGAGAAGGGAGTAGAAGGATGTGCTGACTGGGTGAAAAGAAACAGAATTGGAGGAATCAGTCATCAGTATAAACTATTGGAGCTGAATAACCTCGTACACTGGTACAAATTCCAGGTAATACATTCTCATTGTGTCAAGTGATGACCAGGAGGTAGATGATGAACTCAGAATGCCTTGGCCTTTCTTCACCCAGTAATTCCTAAAGACAACCCCCTGGCCTTGGGCTAGACCACAGACCTGACACAGCGTTTCCCCAGTTCCCAACCTATTCAAGTGGCCAGCAGCAGTCTCAACAACAACAACTTTAAAGATTGGTGTGGAAGAAACATGTTCCAATCGATGGGACTTTGGCACCAGTTCTGGGGAAGGAGGGAGCTGTTCTGGTGGGATTGCTTCCAGCCAAATCACGCTGCAACTAGAGTCCTGGCGAATCGCATTCCTAGGGCTGCAGATACGGCTTTAAGTTAAATTGTGGGGATTGGGTTCAGTTGCATGGAAACTTATGGAAAATGTTAAAGTGGGGGAAAGGGATCAGCAGAGGTTATTAAAGTTTCCCGATCAAGTAATAGGACAGAGAGTATGGAAAGGGTCAGAAATCTAACTTTAGGCACAGCAGATAAGGGGACAACTATGAGAAGGGAGTGCAGTCAACACAGGATTGAGGGATGTTGTACTGGAATGCACACAGTGTATGAAACAAGATCAACGAGTTTGTAGGGCAGATTGAATTTGATGGGTACGATGTTGTGGGTATCACAGAGATATGGCTGCAAGGGATCAGGACTGGGAACTAAATATTCAAGGATACACATCCTATCAAAAGGACAAGCAAATGGGCATGGGGGCAGAGTTGCCTTATTAGTAAGAAATGAAATCAAGTCAATATAAAAGAAGTGAAAGAGTTGGAAGGCATAGAGTCTGTGTGGGTAGAGATGAGAAGCCACAAAGGACAAAAGACCCTGTTGGGAGTTATATACAGGCCTCCTAGCAATAGTCAGGTTGTGGGGCAGAATGTAAATCAGGAGATAGAAAAGTCATGTATAAAAGGCACTATTACAATGATCATGGAGGACATCATGGGCTGAGGGAGGTTACAGAGATAAGGAGGGAGTTAGGTTGAGGGACGTTACAGAGATTGGGAGGGGGTATAGGAGCTGAAGGAGGTTAGACATAGGAGGGATGTGGTTGAGGGATGTTACAGAGATAGGGAGGAATGTAGTTTGAGGGAGGTTAGAGAGATGGTGAGGAATGGAGACTGGGAGAAGTTACCGAAACAGAGATGGATATAGGGCTGGGGGAGGTTACAGTGATAAGGAGGGAATAAGGTTGAGTGAGGTTATAGAAATAGGGATGGATGTCGTTTGAGTGAGGTTACAGAGATGGGGAGAGATGGAGACTGGGAGAAATTACAGCGATAGAGAGAGATAGGAATCGGTGGGACAAGAGGTGGGTTTGAAAACAACAGTGAGAATTTTAGAATGGAGGCACTGTCAGGCATTCATACACCAAGCCTATACAGTGCAAGCCCAGTACCAGTGCACAGGTCCTAGTATAACTCAATGCTGCAGTTACCAGTTCGAATTCAGTGTGAAGAGACTTAAACTTGTTCGTCCTTCACTCCATGTGACTACTCCCCAGACGATGTATTAAGAGAGCAGTATGCAGTGGAAGCAAGTGGCAGGTTCAAACTCATCTTCCATTAAATACAGACGGGCACCTTTCAAGGGTCAGCAGTGTCATTAACATCTGTCTGTCCGCACATCTTCTAACACTCTCTAGGGCAGGTGGAATTTGAACCTGGATCCTCTGTGCTAAAGGTGGGGTCACTACCACTGTGTCACATGAACCTTCTTGCCTAAGAGCAATTTGCTAACAGAGAATATCTACACGTTTGGAGTAGGTGTGCATATTCAGGTCTTAAAAACTCCGAGTATACAGCACATTCTCCTTCGTATTTGGAACCTGTCTTAGCCACAGTGGATTCAGAGGCAGTTGCACAGACTATAAGCTTCTTGTTAGCGGTGGGGCTCATACTGTCTTGAGCAGCAGGTTCAGCTGGAGTATTGGCTGTGGCTATGATGTAATCACCTTGCTATAGTGAGATTGTCTAAAGGGATTTGCAATATTGTTCCTCTGAACTGAGCCCTCTCCACTTTCCAGAGAGTGAAAATACTGGCAGACTACAGTGTTATCTAATAGACATCATTGGCCAGATAAAGGTATAACCATTTAGAACTCAAGTACAGGAGTACAGTGAAAAGTGTACAATGTCACCAACACACAGCACCATCTTAACTACAAATTGCCTAGTTACAAATCTTAGTAACTAAAATGGATTAGGTACAAAAATAGAGAAATAAAGTTAAAGTTTGACCCACATATCCTCATTGTAAGTGGAAAGCTCCTTACGATCAGGAAAATTTGCTTCAGATTTACATTGACTTCAGAAACACCGCTCAACATTCAGTAAATCAGTGTGACAATGATCAAAAAAACCACATTCTGATTTTCCCCTTCCCATTTTACCAACAGATGCACAAAAAGGTTAAAGTTCACACTGCTGTGGTCATTTGACCAACAACACTATCTATGATTCCGTTTTATTTAAGTCATAAGAAATTCATTTAGCCTCGTGAAGCTAGTATTTGATTACAATGATCGAGTCTGCACACAGTCAGCGTAAGAGGTATGACATACTGGAAAGTTTTTAGCTGCTTAATCCATCTTGTCTTTCAATCCTTCTGGATCTTATTAAAATAAAGTAACAAATTATTCTCAAAAACAGCAAAACCCTGGATGATGCTTTCTCTCGAGCTTCAGTCTGATCCTCTCAAAGTGAAAGGAACGCATATTTTTCCCTCCCCTATCCTCCACCCCAATCACTTCCGCACATTTTCAACTGAAACATGCCACAGGGTGAAGGTTAGAAAGAATTTGTTTCCAAGTGGAGCATTTTATTTCTTTGGGTTTTGAATCATCCTTTAGCACTGTTCACTAACTAACGAATAAGTATTAATGTCCTGCTAACTCATGGTTCTGATTTCTGAGCCCAATGTTTACATTGTTTACTCATTCTAGAATTTTCTTGTCTTCACTCCGTGGCCTGTTTTCCTGTAGTAAGATTCTCTTTTCTCTTTTTCAGGCGTTAGCCCCTGTTATTGATTGGCTGCCGTTGCTTTCAGCCATCTTCTATCCTGTCGAACTGAATGACTCTGAGCCTGTGGTTGTATACGCGAAGGAATATCTGCAGAAGGTCTCGGACCTTATAAACTCCACCGATAAATGGTCAGAATCCATCTTTTGCTGTCTTTCTGTCAATTTGTCCTCTCGCGTTGGGTGTGTTGTAGAAAATTGACACCATGATTGTATCTCGCTCTTAGTGCCACTGCCCGAGAGGTGCTTGTTTCAGGTCAATGTAAAGGCATTAGATCACCATGATGTGAAAGTCAAGCCTTTGCATTGTTTGCAATTGGGCTCACACTAACAAACGCCATCAAATCTTGAGAATTGCTATCACAAAAAGAATGAAAGTAGGACGTTTATGAAGCATTTGTCACGTCCTTCAGGAAATTCTTTAAAACTTCACCAGCTGTGAATTGCTTCAAAGTGAGGCAAAGTTGGCCACCATTTTGTCTCATTGAGGCTCGCACCAACAGCACCTGGGTTTCATGGGTGAGGTTATGAGGAGAGATTATCACATCAGACCTCTATTCTCTAGAATCTAGAAGGTTATGGGGTGATCTGATTGAAGTCTTCAAGAAATTAATAGGAAAAAGACAGGGTAAATAAAAATAAACTATTTCCACTGGTTGGGGATTCTAGAACTAGGGGACACAGTCTGAGAATTAGGGCCAGACTGTTCAGGAGAGATGTTAGGAAGCACTTCTACACACAAAGGATGGCAGAGGTTTGGAATTGTCTTCCACAAACGATGGTTGATGCTGAATCAGTTGTTAATTTTAATTATGAAGGAGTGGAATTTTTGCTGAGTAAAAGTATTCACGGATATAGGCCAAAGGCAGATGTATGGAGCCAGGCTGCAGTTCAGCCATGACCTTATTGAATGGTGGAACAGGCTGGAGGGGCTGAATGGCCTAGTGCTGTTCCTATGTAGCAGCGAGGTTGAACCATTAGAGGTGCTGGTTAAAGGACTCCCCCACTAGGTTCAGTGTTGCCCTGGTGCCTGGAACCTCCGCTTGTACCATTGCCCCTCAGTTTAATGTCAGATCCAAAGGGGACAGAGAGGTGAGGGGTGGGGGTGGGGTGTAGAGTCATCCTGGTGTTCTGTAGCTGCACCCTTACCCCATCCCCTTTACACACCCCATACCCACTCTTCAACCCCTCCCAAAAACTTGCCAATGGGAGGGCACTTCCTAATATACAGATACCACTCCCGCAAACTCCTCCTCTGGGAATCGGCAGGTCAACTGGAAAATCTCGATTCACCACCTTCAACTGGCCGTTGAGAAGCTTAATCAGCCATTAAGCCTTTGTGGGGCATGGTCTGGGAAGATGACTGGAGGATAGGATAGAGCTCAGGAGCTGTGTGCAGATCTATCTGCAACCTTTCAAGTTGCTGGCAACCTGCATTCTGATGCCAATGGGAGACTGATGCTCGCCATGATGTTGACATGTTCTCCGCTCCCCCCTCCACCGTGTCACCCTGACCGAGTGACCCTATCACTGTGCTCCCAGCTATGTGTTGTTCAGATTTCAGTTTGTGTCAATGAAACATTGAAGTTGTGTGCAATGTTGCTGCTTCCAGCATTCTCAACAACTACATGATATGGAACGTGGTGAAGAAAACTGCCTACAACCTGGATCATCGCTTTCAGGAAGCTGAGGAGAAACTCATCATGGCCATGTCGGGAACAAAAAAGGTGAGTGAGCAACTTTCAAAGTCGGTGAATGACAGGGTGAGCAGACCTGCCTAGCTGCACATTCAGGAGACTGAGAACCGACTTCCTGTAATGTATGAAATTCTTATTGAGCTTGGTACAGGGTAAGTGCTGAGAAGGACATATCTCCTCGGGCTGGGGGCGGGGGCAACATCTCCGGATAACAGGACAGCCGGTTTGAGCTGAGCTGAGGAGAACCTCATTCAAAACGGGCTGTGAACTCGTTATCCCAAAGGTTTACGGATGCTGGAGTATTTTCAAGATGAGAATCTACTTCATTTTTTTCATCCTGGGGATGTGGGCATCTTTGGCAAGACCAATGCTTATTGGCCATCCCTAATTACCCTGACATTTGTTTTTTCGGGTAATGAATGTTGACGGATGTGGGCGTACTGCTTAGAGGGTGGAATTGACAGACTTGCAAACTGGAATGACCAATTACGCTGTTCCAGTACGATTTTTAAAATGAATTATCGACCGAGCACAGTGTAATATCTTATGAAATGGCTTTCCAGTAATGGTCGAATAAGTGACTGTTTAAAATTGTGATAGATCCAAGTCATTCCATATTTGGTTCAATCCAGGAGGCACTTGGATCCGACCCTGCTTTTCTTTATCTTTACCTCCTCATGGGTGAACAGGAATCACGGACCGGGTCAGTGAGCTCAATGAGAGGACATTGACGCTGAAATTTTGACATACGTATCAAGCTGTGGGGTCTGAGCAGTGACAGTCCAGAGATGTTTCAGAATTTGATTGTGCTTTTTATGCCCGGTTTAGGTGTAAACACGAGTGGCAAGAAACGACCTTCTAGTAGAAACTTCCAGGGATTTGTCAGTCCGGCAGCTGTCTAATTAATATAAACCGGTCATAAACCCCTGAAGATCTTCACCAGCGTAAAGGCTTTCCCAGTACTGTTCCATATTAGTTTGTGGTCTGTTTCATAAAATCTTATCCTATTGAAGCTGCATGCTTTATTAGCACAGAATGCTAGTTACATCTTTATGTCAAAGTGATGTAAGGGAACGAAGCCACAGCGATTCCTGTCATTATCTTTTATTCAATACACATGAGAAATGGCAAAATTCTTGAACTCCCTGTATGAATTTTCAACATTAACATGATAAGAGTGACTGAAAATGACCAGATTCCTGAATGTTAGACAATGAGCCTTTGCACAGGTAAAGAACAGAGTGGCGAGGACCTCGAGGTGTCTAAAACCAGCCTGTCTTAAACAGCTGCCTGACTGATAATCTTCTGGAAGTTTCTACTCGGGTGATTTGTTTGCTGTAGCTGATATTTCCGATAGATTTAGGGACTTTTTTTAACCAAGCAGTGACAGAATTCCCACTGATCTGGATTGGCCACATGTAGGGATCTACCAGAGCCATGCTCCATTCTCCACTTGTTCCCTGAGCCAACAACAAGTGCAGGTTGGGATTGAGAGGGGGCACGTTTAATCGGGTGCCTGGTAAAACCCTGCTGCCAGGGCCCAAATGGGGGCATTAGCCAGAAGAGGTTGGGGATAGGAGGAGGAAGTGGTTGCAGCAGGCTTTGGGAAAGGATAAGGTGGGTTACAAAAAGTGTGAGGTGGAGAGAGGGAGGCTGCAAATGTAGTGGGATGGAGGGTTATGGAGGCTGCAAAGCAATGAGAACAGTTATAAACCTGTCAAAAAAAAAAAGGTTGTTTAGCTAACTGGGATCCAAGATCATTAATTCCTTGAAAATTAATGTGGAGTGTCTAGTTTTAGGACTGCGTAAACTCAGGAGTCACTATATGTATAGTGTGTCAATTGTTAAATTTAAATCTGAGTGTGAAATCTGAGATGCAGTAAATAGGATTGTAACTGCCTCATTAAGTTATTCCAGCTTTGTTACGGTATGTGGGTAGTGCATTAGCTGTGACTCTGCCAGTGGGTGGAAGCCATGTTTAGGGTAATGGATTTTCTTGTGTAGAAGTGCATCAGATATTTTGGAAAAAGACTCCTGTTAACCTAATGTCTATTATCTTGAACCAATTTAAAAGCTATGATTTCTAGGAAATTAATGCCTTCCTTGTATTTTGACTTTAAGGTTAAAGAGGAGCAGATAATTATTGAGGGGAGTGATGAATCCTACTAATTGTTGTGTGAGGCTCCAAATATGTGCCAATATAAATACAAAAGACGTCACCATGTGACATCATCGCTTTGTAAGAATGAAAAAGTAGCCCCTAAAATTTGAAAAGCAGCCCTCAATAAAAAAAATCTGAGTCTAGCTGTCAATAGAGACAAATTATTTTCACCCCTGTTCTTGTCATATTGTCTCTACCTCTCAGTCAAAAACTCTGGGTTCAAGTTCCCCTCTTCCAGGACTTGATGACCGAGGAAGGTATGTTCAGATTATGGCCAAACAGGAAGATTATCAATCTCTGATCCTTCCTACACACAACACAGCGGCAGGTTTAAGAGTGGGAGAAGTTTCTAGTCACCCACGTGATGGAAGGAACAGTGGAGCCTCTACCATGACTATCCATAGCTCTGTGCATGTAACAGTGCATGTTGCACTACACCCACGTGATCTGTGTCATACCACCACATGGAGTCCATCTTGAGAAACCGAGCTTACACCAGTTTTTTTAGAACTTCATTCAGGTGTCACTGGCTAAGCCAACTGTTGGTACGCATCCCTAGATGCCACTGAGAAGGTGATGTATTTCAACCACTGTAGTCCTAGGGGTGTAGGTACAGTGCTGTAGGAAATTCCAGGATTTTGACCCAGCAACACTGAAGGAAAATACATATTTCCAAGTCAGGACGGTGAGTGGCTTGGAGGGGAACCTGCAGGCGATGGTGTTCCCGTGTATCTGCTGCCCCTGTCCTTCTAGATAGAAAAGGGTTGTGAGTTTGGAAGATGCTGTTGGAGGAACAGTAATGAGTGACTGCACAGAAGAACAGTATTTAAGACAAGTCCACATTTTGCTGAAAGCTTTATTTCACTTAGTCCCACTCCATACAGTTAACCCCCAATGGTTACTGGCACCCTGTATTTATAATGTATTCTAACCCAATATCCATTAATCTATCCCTTGCCTTTACCCTCATTCCGTAATGCTCAGTAATTAGAGTCATACAACATGGAAACAGACACTTCGGTCCAACCAGTCCATGCTGACCACGTTCCCAAAATAAACTAGTCTCGCCTGCCTGCTCCTGGCCCATATCCCTCCAAACCTTTCCTATTCATGAACTTATCCAAATGTCTGTTAAATTTTATAACTGTTACCCCCATCCCCACCCCTTCCCCTGGCAGTTCATTCCTCACACGAACCACCCTCTATGTAAAAATTTGCCCTTTGTGTCTTTTTTAAATCTTTCTCCTTTCACCTTAAAAATATGCTCCCTACTTTTGAACCCCCACACCTCCCCTGTGAAAAGATCCTTGCTATTCACCTTATCTATGCCTCTAATGATTTTATAAGCTTCTGTAAGGGCGCACTCCCATTCTTCCAGGCGCAAGCCCAGCAGCGGCCACCGCTTCTGGTGGTGCTGTTGAGCTGCCAGTCCTCTGATTGGTTGGATGCTGTTGGGAGCAAGGAGCTGGCTTTAATAGGAATGGCCGTTATTAATGGTTTGCCACTGATCGGATGCGGCATGAGCTCCTGGATTTAGGTTGAGAAGCTGGCGTCGTGGTAATGTTGCATGATGGTGCTCTATGGGCATGGGTTCAAATACCACCGCAGCCACTGACGGAATTCGAATGCAATGAAAGGTAGCCCTGGTAATGGGTGACCATGACGACTATCATGGTTGTAAAATCCAATTGGTTTCGGTTCACTCATCTCCTCTCGGGAAGGAAAGCTGTCATCCTTGTCCATCTGGCCTGCGTGTGACTCCAGACCCACAGACATGTGGTTGACTCTGAAGTTGTACAATAGTTCAAGAGCAATTGGAGATGCTGGCCAGCAACAGCCATGTCCCATGTAAGAATAAAGAAGAGCGAAAGTCCCACTGGTGATCAGGACAAGGTTGTGATCAATCCCCATCTGTCAGACCTTTCAGTGAGGCTCCCAAAACTGGCACTTAATATCAGCTAACATTTCAGATCAATGACTTTTCAAATTCAAATTCTGTATTTTTGTACCTAATATGTTCAGCAGATGAAGGGTTAATGCAACCTGCCTGTACAGTTGCAATAAGCAATTGGAAGTAATTTGCAGGCCGTATCAGACGGTTAATTGCAGAGAGCAAGACTCAGCCTTAACTCGAAAGCAACAGTGAAATAACATGCGGTAATCATTTGGATAAGGAGCCTGAAATCACAGGAAACAGCCTCTCCTACTATCAGATCCTGCTGACGTGATGATCTCTGCCCTTTGGATTAAAGACACATGGATACCGTTTGTGTAACAGCACAGGGTCAGGAAGCTGAGGCAGCCTGACATGTGGCATTCACTTTGTGTTCATTCTCCTAAATAATCATTTGGAACTGCCTGTCACCAGCCAACACTGCTTCATAAAAATCTGATCAAACGAGTATGCGGTTTTTAACAAAAGAAAAATCTTGTTTACTGAGCTTCAGCAAGACATACACCTCTTTAGATGCTCGTTGCTTCTACAGTGACATGTGTGCAACTTTTTGACTCCAGCTCCTGTAATCCTTGCCAACATTGGAATGAGCGGAGGGAGTGACTGAGCAAAGACAGTCGAATTATTGTGAAAGATGCACTATTTATCCTATCAGGCTCTGAATGGTTCATGCTATCTTATCTCCCTCACTCAATTACAAGCCCTGATTTTCCTGACACCAGTGTTGTTCCAAGTGATCTCCTTCAGGCCAGCAGTTGCAATGTGGTTGATCTGTGCAAAATTAAAATAATTCTTACAAGTCCGTACAGTAGAGTGAGATTCTCTCCATGATTACGAACGACATGTGGTGAGACCACATATGGAGCACTGTGTACTGCTTCGGTCAGCCTAATTTATAAAAAAGAATGTGACTGTATTAGAAATAATTCGAAGAAGATTCACTGGACTGATTCCTGTGATAAAGGGCTCAGAGTTTGTGAGGAAAGGTTGGAGAGACTGGGCCGGTACCCATTGCAGTTTAGAAGAAAAGAAGTAACCTTATTGAAACAGATACAATCCTGAGGGGACTGGATCTGATTGATACTGGGAGGATGTTCCTTTTGTAGACCAGAACTAGGGACATGGTTTAAATAGAAGAGGTCTTGCTTTTAAGACAGAGAGGAGGAAAAGGTTTTTTTCTTCCTGAGTCTGTGGAATCCTCTATCCCAGAAAATTGGTTGTATATATGACAATAAAGAACGTTATCTTAAGATTACAAAGGGATCTTGATAAATTGAGCCAATGGGCCAAGGAGTGGTGGATAGAGTTTAATTTAGATAAATACGAGGTGTTGCACTTTGGCAAAATGAACAAGGGTAGGACTTATACAGTTAATAGTAGGGCCCTGAGTAGTGTTATTGAACGTAGACCTAGGGGTTCAGGTACATGGTTCCTTGAAAGTTGCATCACAAGATGTTTAGCATTGCTTCCCTTCGTTGCCCAGACTTCATTGAGTCTAGGAGTTGGGATGTTATGTTGTGGTTGTACAGGATGTTGGTGAGGCCACTTTTTTTGGAGTACTGTGTGCAGTTCTGGCCCTGCTATAGGAAAGATATTATTAAATTGGAGAGGGTTCAAAAACATTTACCAGGATGTTGCCGGGACCAGAGGATTTGAGTTACAAGGAGAGGCTGGATAGGCTGAAACTTTTTTCACTAGAGCATAGAAGGTTGAGGGGTGACCTTATAGAGGTTTATAAAATCATGACAGACATAGACAAGGTGAATGGCAAGGGTCTTTTCCCTAGGGTGGGGGATTTCAAAACTAGGGGGCATATTTTTAAGGTGAGAGGAGAAAAATTTAAAAAGGACCTGAGGGGCAATATTTTCACACAGAGCGTAGTTCGTATGTGGAATGAACTGTTAGAGGAAGTAGTAGATTGCCAGTATAGTTACAACATTTTAATAGATATTTGGACAAGTACATGAATATGAAACGTTCAGAGGGATATGGGCCAAATGCAGGTAAATGGGACTAGTTTAGTTTGGGGAAACTTGGTCAGCATGGACCGAAGTTTGTGCTCTATGAGCTGTGAGACCTGGGTCATTGACTGTCTTCAAGATTGTGGGAGACAAGGGAGTCCGGGCTTATGGGGAACAAACGGGGAAGTGGGAATGAGACCACAGCAAGATCGGCTATGACCTTATCGAACGGCAGAGCAGGATCAAAGGGCAGAATGACCTCCTGCTCCTAAGTCCCATGTACTAATGCAATTACAGGAAGTGGAAGGCCAGCTATAACACAGTAAATAATAAGCCCCATCTCAGTTAGAAGGAAGGAGGACACTGTTTCTGTTATGGCTGCACATTTCTTAGAGACAAGGATGAATGTATTCACTTTACCCAGCAACTTTGGATTAATATATTCCACGAACCATTAATTCTGAGATTGACTGCAGACTCACTAAATGTTTAACGGTTTCAGTGAGAACAAGATCTCTGTTGCTAATTTTGAGAAAAATAATGTTGTGATGTTGGATTTGAGAGCACTGTGAACAAAGAGCATGGAATCCCTACAGTCCAGATAAAGGCCATTCAACCCGTCGAATCTGCTCCAACCCTCTGAAGGGTATCCACCCAGACCCACTCCCCTACCCTATTGTCGTAACCCTGCATTTCCTATGGCTAATCCACCTAGTCTGCACATCCCTGGACAATTTCCCATGGCCAATCCACCTAACCTGCACATCTTTGGACTGTGGGAGGAAACCGGAACACCCGGAGGAAACCCACATAGACACAGGGAGAATGTGCAAACTCCACACAGACAGTCACCCGAGGGTGGGATAGAATCCGGGTCCCTGGAGCTGTGAGGCATCAGTGCTAACCACTGAGCCACTGTGCCACCCAGCATAATGCCTGCCTCTTGATAATTCTCAAAACTATTGTCAAATTCAAAGTCAGTGTTTTGTTGGGGTCAATGGTGAACCTAGCAGCTGATGGGTCTGTACTGTGTGAATGGAACCAATTGCCAGCAGTGACCCTGGGTATGACTGGCAGGTCACAATGACCATTACTTAGCTAGTCCTTTGCCCTTTTAGAGAAAGGAATTTGTGTTCCCAACACAAGAGACGGGCACCGCCATTGGATATGGCTACCATGATCTATCTGCATCAGAGCCGTGACCTCACGCTAGCTCGTGATGGTAATTGAAACCCCTTCAAGTAAAGTATTTATCATTTAGACCATAAGGAATAGCAACCAGAGTAGGCCATTTGGCCCCTCAAGCCTGCTGTACCATTCAGTAGCATCATGGCCAATCAGACATTCCTCATGTCCTTTCCCCATAACCCTCGATTCCCTGACTGATCGAGATTCTGTTTATCCAAGACTTAAGTATACACAAGCACTCTGCCCTGCAGCTCTCTGTGGCAACTCACAACTTCTGACAGAAGAAATTCCTCCTCATGTCAGCCTTAAATTTAAAGTAAGTGGTGTAACATTTGAAATACGCAATGGCTTTCTGCTGTCCACACTGACTGAAGTAGCTTTGTGTGGAATATATTGTGACGCCCAAATTGGATTAAACTTTCACATTTTAAAACAATATTTTGTAACTTTAAAGGTGTAAGAGAGAATATTGATGTAACTTTCCTTCTTTAACACCAAATGGGTCAGAGGCCCTTTGCTTTACATTTTCTTCCTAGAACCATTGCTGAGACTTGTTTTCTGTAGTTTTTTTTTGTAGTGACTTCGTAACAGTGCGTTCTGCGACGCTGCAGTTTGCTGTGGGATATAAGTTTTAAAGCAACACCCTCTGCATGCACAGTGCTCCACCTAGTGGTCATATTGGCTGAGGTGCCCCCTTGAGATAAAATCCAACCATGTCTCTTAATCTCCCACGGATTCATCTATGCCAGCAGGCCATTCAGCCCAAAGTATCCATGCTGGTCTTTATGCTTCACATGATCTTCATTCCATTGTTTTTCCATCAGTGTATCTCTGTCATCCTTCCTCGTTTACTTATTTAACTTCACCGTCTGTACCACCTGTCCTCCCTTTTGTTTTTGCTTAATTCAAAGGAAACATGGGAGCAAAGTATTTTGGATGCTGGAGTTCCGAAATAAAATCAGAACGTGGGCCGGAGAACCTCAGCAGGTCTGGCAGCATCTGTAGAGAAACATTCAGAGTTAATGTTTCCAGTCAAACATGACTGTCCTTCAGAAAACCTATAGGAGACAGGGTGTGAAGGGCATGTGGTCAAGTTCTGAAGAAGAGTTGTAGAACCCCTAAAGTGTGGGAGAAGGCCATTTGGCCCTACAAGTCTGCACTGACCTTCCAAAGAGCAGTCCACCCAGGCCTAGACCCAGATCCCATCCCTTTGAACCCATCCCATCCCTGG